TTCGCTGAGTCAGGGCCCGGCCGCACCGGCCTGCTGCGTCACCCGCCGCCCGCACACCCCCGGGTGCCGGCACTCGAGCGCCGCGGTCGCATCCAGGTGCTTTCGGGGGCGGCCCAGGGCACTGCATCGCCCGTTGTTGCACCGTTAGGTGTGCGCACGGGATTCGCGAGATAAATAAACCGAGAGATTTCAAGCAGGAGTCCAGAGCGTTAAAACCATCCCACTCTGTTGCGGGCTTGCTGATTTCTTTGTGACAGACACAAAACACTGCTCGGTTCTTTTTCCGTGCCCAAAAAATGAGTGAAAACTAGGAGCTGGCATTTTCTGAGGGGTGCCTCGAGTCTGAACAGGCCGAGAGCCGCTGCGCTAGGAGTTATTTATAAAGCTTGTAAAACATCGTTAGTCTCTGACGTGCACCATTAAGTCAGCAGCCAAAGATAGAGGGGAGATGGGATGTGTCGGGTCACAGCGGGACCTTGTTGCTGTAGAAGTTGAGTAACGCCGAGCTAGGCAGGGACTAGTCGCTTCTTGACTAGAGTCACCTTTTGCTCTGTCTCCTTTGTCGCACCTGAGAGAGTGGAGTCAGTAAGCGGCGTGCAGAGCGTGAGGTGCTTATCCCTTCAGGCAGCCTCCCTCCCTCCCCTCGCCCAGAGCTCCAGTGCTGTCGCTCTGCAAATTGTTTCTGAAACGATCAGGGTGCTTTTGGCGCTGATCTGAACGGGGCTTTAGACAGTAAGAACAATACACAATAGCGAGAACTAGAACGGTCCCGTAGAACAACAGCAGCGTGGTTTCTGGCTGGTCCAGGGTTGTTAACTTTGTAATAAACTTAAAAGTATTCATGTAAAGTTTTAAAAACCGCAGCGTTTTGTTGGAGGCAGTTTTCTCTGTTGTGTGGGAGCAAATGTTTTGAAAACAGCAGGTTATGACCTTCGCCGGTTCTGCAACAAAGGCACAGAATCGCTCTGAGATGCTTGGGTATTGTAGCTGAAAACCGAGTAGGTGAGATTTATCTAGTTTTTTTAAGGAGTGAGGGGTGCGTGCAGTTTCTGGGGAATGAAAGCGGGTTTCAGATCTTTGAGAGGGATGAATAAAGGACTGACATCTGGAGATAGGGAAGAGGAGGAGAAGAGGTCTGAAATGAGTAGTGTGGAGGGGGCAGCAGTGAGGGAAAGCTCTGAGTGGGGTAAGAAGGAAGAAGATGCAAGTCATGTAGGCAGCTGGTCAGAAAGCAAAGCAATCATTAAATAGCTGACTGTGGTCATCAGCATTTTCATGCAAGAAAGAAGTTCAGAGCAGAAATCAGTCTGCAGATGCCATCGCCTCCCCTTGATGGGGAAAAGCTGTCCTGTCAATCCCAATTCTGTCTGCTGGTGGCATAGTTTGAAGGGGTCACTTTAAAATTTGGTGCGTTTGTGGTGTGTACAGCAGTGTGGATGGGGATGGGCTGAGGAAGTGCCCAAGGCTCGTTCCATGCCTCTTGCAATACAAATGGGAGCTATTTGAATTTGCAAGAAACTTGTACTTGCTGTTGGATTTCATGAAGTTCCTCATGCAGTTTGTTCCCTTTGTGGTAGTGGTGTGTGCAGACTGAATAATGCATCCAGTGGATGGATGGGGGTGAGGATAAAGCCCAGGTCGCATAGTGCTTTTCATCCAGGATTTCCTAAACCTGTAGGAAGTAAACCTGTGTTGTGATGAACTTTATACATATGGGGAAACGGAGGCACTGAAGTTAAGTGACTTGCCAAAGGTGCTGACACAAGTGGTTGAGCTGGTACCTGACTCAGCCTGGCTTCTCAGTCCAGCACTGCCTCTCGTCAAACATGCTTTTCCGCTTCTCATAGAAATTACTGTTTTAATCCAGAGC